TTTGTAGATGATTTGGGACATTTGAAGGAGATCTGGGATATTTGTAGATGATTTAGGATATTTGCAGGCAATTTGGGATATTTGAAGTAGATTTGGGATATTTGTGGATGATTTGGGATCTTTGCAGTAGATTTGGGATAGCCCAAGGCCCATCTAAGCACTGGGCTGGTCACTGCATCAATTGGTCCACAAAGATCTTCTAAGTTCAGGAGTTCTTAGAAGAGCCTGTTCATGGAAAAAGCCTAATCTGATGGAGAAAAAATTAATAAATAGTTTAATAATCTTGCCAGATTCGTTTTGGGTTTATATCTCTTTGGATTCACCTGGTCTAAACAGAGGCTTAAAACTCCATCCAAAGCCAGTGTGTAAATTTAAGAAACCCCTCCATAAAATGCAATTAATTGGAACAAACAGAAAGACGACCTGACGCATAAATTCCTATAAATGGGAGCTGATAGAAGTGGAAAAGGCTGGAGAGTTGGAAGAATATTCCTGTCGAGGCAGCCACGTCTGTGTGGAAGTGCCATCTCAAGGAGACACCTTTCAAGCTGCAAAAAGGTTAAATTTTGAAGTCCAATCCTCTGATAAATAAAATATTCCTGAACTCTGCATGACTGCAGGAAGAGCTGGGGATTAGCAGAGGCTGGAATGAAAAGCCAGCCCACGTGTGGGTGTGGAGAGGGGGCTGTGCTTGGCACATCCTGGAGATCCTGCAAAGGCTCGGAGAGAAAAGGCTTAAGGAAAGGCTGAAAGCCTGAGGAAATCTTGAGCTGGACATGGGATGCTGGATTGAGGATCTGATGGATATATGGCAATGCTTTGAAGGCTGAAGGCAGAATCAGCCCTGTTTAACTGAGGCACATTTCTGTGGCCCTGGGCAGAAGCAGTGCAGTCACTCAGTACCAAAGCAGGTCCCACCCAGGAGCTGCTTGGTGCTTCACAGACTCCTCCAGTCCCATCTCTGCCAGGTCCTCCCAGTGACCCTGAACAGGACCAGTGCAGGGTGGGCAGAGCTCCAGGGCCCCCTTCCTGCTGGGAAGGATCTCCTGCGAGGCACTGGTGGCACTGACACTCCCTGAGGGAACAGAAATTCTCCTCCCATGAGCTGACCCACAGTGTCCACACCTTCAACTCCTATTTCATTTCACTTAGAGGATGAGCCAAGAGCTCAACACTGCCTGCAGCCCTCGTCCTGCTGAGAAGGAACTCGTTCGTGTGGGATTATGGCAAATAAATTTCAAGGAAAGGAAGGTAGCTCATTAAAACAGGATGATTTTTGCTGGCGCTTTGCACTCATGGGAGCTCTGCATGGAATTCCAGGGGTCCTGGGCTTTCCAAACTCCTCAGAGACACCTGGGGAGGCTTTGGGAGCTTGGGGGATGCTGCTTTTCTTCCCAGTCAGTCTCTGTGGGAACACAGGGCAGGCTGAGGGAGAACATCGCGCTGCAGTGGAAAACAGGGAGAGTCCTGCCTCAGGAACTGCCTCCTTCATCACCTGCAAGAAGAAAAATTCCACCTTGAGCTCATTCTGCAGCACCCAGTGGGATCTCCTGCCTGCTCCCCACAGCACAGCAGCTGCCAGGTGGCCTTGCTGGGATGGCTCCAGGCTGTCCTGCACAGCTTCCCAAGGAAGCTGAACAAAGCAGCTGCCTGCAAGCCAGGAAACTTTCAGCCTTTTATATATTTTTTTTGATCTCCTTGAAGGTTTGGAGCTCTGTGGCAGCCAGAGAACGCAGGTGCTGCAGCAATTAGTGCAGGACTTCCATGGAGCCATTGAACATCCCAATTATCTGTTCTGACAAAGGCTCAGCTCTCCCCACATCTGTTATCTCCATTTCCAGGAGCTCCTTTGTAACCCATGGATTGCTCTTGGCTGGCTCCTCTGGGAGATCTGCCTGTGGCACTTCCAGCTTTCTGATTGTCCAATTACCTCCATCCCTCCTTTGCCCTGTCCCATCCTGTCGGCTGTTCCCTGCTGCAGGGGGTTTATCCAGCCCCTCACATGCAATGGCACGCTTTCTGGGATTGTTCCATGCAACAGAGACAGCCGAGGGCCAGGACAGGCAGGACTGGAGGGAATGGTTCAGACTGACAGAGAACAGCTTTAGTGTGGGATATTGGGAAGGAATCCTTCCCTGTGAGGGTGGGGAGGGCTGGCACAGGGTGCCCAGAGCAGCTGGGGCTGCCCCTGGATCCTGGAATATCCCAGGCCAGGCTGGATGGGGCTGGGAGCAGCCTGGGACAGGGGAAGGTGTCCCTGCTATGGCAGGGGTGGCACTGGGTGGGATTTAAGTTCCCTTCCAGCCCGTTCTGGGATTCTGGTACTCAATACTGGTCTCAAAAATGCCTCAGGAAGGAAAGAACTGAGCAGTGATTTCCTCAGGTTTTCATTTTGTTTTTTCATAAACTTCACATTCCCAGAATTTCATTCTCATTATACACACCTGCTCCTACACCTGCTGATACCTTCTGGTAACAGAGGCATCTCTCAGTTTATAAAAATGTCAGTTCAATACATTTCTGCAAAATATGATGGGACTGGAATTGAATCTTCTGTTTGTTTGGGTTTCCATTTCATTACCAAGCCACTTGGCAAAACTGAGCACATTTATTTTATATTAGTGTCACCACACCTCCATTTACCTTCCTCCTTCCACATGGGGAGTGAGAGGACTATTTAGTTATTTCCCAGGTGGATTCAGCTCTTTCTGGTGGGTCCTGGGGCAAGAATTCAACATCTTCACCTGCTCTGTGAGGGAAGAGTGGGGTGCAGGGCTGGGCTGGGGCTGGCACTGCCATGGCAGGTCAGGGATGTGCTTTGTTCCAGCACAGTTATCTGTGCTGTCATCTTGGAGACAGCAAACACGGCAGGACAGAGAGGAGAAGGAGGGAATGGGAGGAGGATGAAGTTTTAGATGATGCCAGGAGCAGGACAGACCAATTCTGGATATTTGGGCAGAGCCTTGGAGCAGTTCCTTCCTCACACCTCTTACCTGCTCCCTTCTGCAGGAACATGCGAGGGTTCCGTGGACACATCCAGAGGTGGAACTTCCACAGACCTGCCCAAACATCCAGAACTGGGCTGTACAGACACAATCCCTCCTCACCACGAATCCAGGGCTGTTCACACCCTCCAGTTCAGCAGCATTCCCTGGAGCTGCTCTGCACTCGGAGAGACAAACTCACCTTCTCCCTGGATGCCTGTTTGTGGGTAAGGCTGTGATGAGTCACAGAGATCCAGGAACTCCTGGGGGCTGGGAATCCATGGGAACAGCTCATTTCCAAGGGACCAAGCTCAGGTATGTGTGCACAGAAAGCAATTCCTTCTCCTCTGCTGACTCATTTCCCTGGGAGAGCGGCACAAGGGCCAGAAAAGCCTTGCCTGCATTGTTAGGTCAGTCCCTTCCAAATTAATGATTTCTTTTTGCAGCTGACACTTGCTGTGAACACCTGGAGCTGCCAGAGGGGCTGTCAGGCTGACAGAGGCTGCCAGGGAACTCAGCCACTCCCCAGTGCTCCCTTAGAGCCGGCCCAAAAGGAGCAGCTCAGGAATAATCAGACAGAGCTTCCTGCAAGGAACAGGCACAGACAGCTCCAGTTCCCCTGGATCTGCTCAGCGCTGCAGGAGCCCAGGGGACTCTGGATGCTGCTGCTGATTAGCCTTTCATTTGTGATGCTGTAATTAAGGACAAATGCAGGGAATTCCTAACGATGCCACAGTCCTCGAGACCCAGAGATGTGAGAATCTGGACAGCATGGAAGGCAAAAACCTCCTCTGCCAGTGTCAGGGCAATTGTAGCCCAGTTAAAGGACAGTCCAGGCTGATTCCTTCTGGGCAGAAAGGTGAGCTGCTGGTGCTGGGGGATGAATTAAGCTTTGGTGTTTTCCTGCAGTGAGCAGAGCAAAGCCCCTGCTGCCTCACACGAGCCTGGCTGTGGGCTCTGAGCCAGGATCTCTCTCCTGCCATGAAACCACAGAATCCTGCACTACAGCACAGGGTTGGTGTCATCCCGCTAAAGGGGGGCACTGCTGGGGCACAGTTCTGCAGTGGGGTGGGCTGAACCCCTCTCCCTCTGGAGCCTCACTCAGGGATTCAAATTGAGGGGAGCTGGTTCCTCTCCTCTCCCCACACCACCATGAGGAATCCATCCAAGAGCTCATCCACAGCCTTGAATCACGGATGTGTTTGCCCCAGTGAGCTTTTACAGTATTTTTTTAAGCATTCAGCTCCCTGTAAGTAGTGTCTGTTAATTTCTCATGAATAATGATTAGTCTATAACTCCAATCAGTCCTTAAGATCCTGCACCTCATCAGGAAGTTAATTACACTTAGTTAGCAATTGCAACAAAAGACGTGCTTCTTGTTGACTCTGCTCCAAATCCTCATTTCTTCTCCTGACAGGCCTTGTCTCATCTCCCTGGGAAGCATCTTGGCCTCCATTTATTTACAAGACTGTCTTTATTTCAAAGAAATTCTAAAGTGACCTGACAGGAAGAAATCTGAGGAAATTAAGAGGGAGGCCTGGCTGACGGCAAGAAAACAAGCTGAGATTTCCAGTAATAAGTGTCAGCTCAAGCAAGGAGATGTCAGATCAGCTCATTAGAGTGCATGAAAGGCCTTCCCCCCCAGCCTGGCTGCATCCCCCAGTTACTCCAGGACTGGTTATGGAATTGCTCTGGATTCCCTGATTTGCACGGGGCTCTGAAGCACGTGCAGGGTCTTGAGCACAGATCCCTCCTGGCTCAGGCTCCTCCAAGAGCAGCAGCAGCCTCTGCACCAGCTGCTCCAGGCCCTTTTCCAGCTCCTTTTCATGCCCTGAATGTGCCTGGAGGTCTCCAAGCACTGGGGACAAACCTCGGTCACCACCTCCATCCCTGCCATGTGTCACATACATTTATTATATAGAAATGTGTCCCAATTATTCCTCAGGAGCTGCTGCCACTGTACTCTCTCTCCAAAACCACCAGCTTAGAAGGGAAGATTCCTTTACATCCCTTTTATTCCTGTTTATTCCTGTTTATTCCATGTCCTTTACAGGTTTGAGTCACTGACACCCTGTAGAGGTGATTCTCTCCCTTGCCCTTTAGAGGTTTCTCAGCAACAGGACTCGCATTTCTCCAGCAAATCTGAATTTCTTGGCATTCCCAAGGGGCTGCTGATGTGCTGATGGTCTCTGTTTTCCCATCTGGAATTCTCCTAAAGAGCTCTGAGGGTGATTTATAGCTACCAACACTCTGCAGTGGTTTTTCTCTTGAACTAAGGATTATTCTCCACAGAATCTCCACCTTCAAGTAGTCCTGTGGCTCCTGTAGTTGTGGCTTTCAGCTGCTTGTGTTGCTACTGTTGATCTTTGTTCCATTTGCATCTCATGTGCTACCACAAATGTTTGGTCTTCACCTGCCTGGTGACAAAGAAGAGAAAAATCAGATCAAGCCTCCCTTGGTGTTCCCGAGCACTGGAGCTGCCACAGAGGGTTTAAAGATGTCCTGTCACAGGGGAAGGGTGTGTTCTGAAAAGTGTGGAACGCTCTTTTCCTTCAGTATTTTGATTTTCTATCCATATTTTGAGACCTGTTATCCTCAGTATGGATCCCAAATGATATTTGCTTTGAAGCCATCCAGCCTTCCCTGGGCTTGTTCCTAAATAGGGAGGTTTCACCTGGATTCAAAGGCCTGTCTATGCCTCTGATTTTTAGTGGAAAGGGAAAGGACTCATTTTGCTGGAGGTTTTACAGCCCATCCTCTCCAGGATGGAGATTTGTGGCAGATTTTCATGGAGACTTTTAGTGCCTCTTGGTCTGCACGATATCCATGGATAAACTGCTCAGGAAAGCTGGGATGGAACCAGCAGAGAAATGGTCAAATGAGGGAAATCTGCATTGCAGGCCGGGAGCTGGGGATCCTCAGAGGATTTGGGATTTTTGCTTACAAAGGAAGTGTTTAATGTGCCTTTAGGTGATTGCAGTGAAAAATTGCAGGGAATGGCCAAGCTGAGGAGCAAATCCCTGTCCTGCTGTGGAATGGCACTGGAATGCTGCGGGAGGAGCTGGCTGAAGAGGAGCCCTGGGGCTGGGGCCAGCAGAGCTGGCTGAGGTGGCTTTGGGGACACCTCCCTGTCCTGTGAGGTGGCTTTGGGGACACCTCCCTGCCCTGTGAGGTGGCTTTGGGGACACCTCCCTGCCCGCTTTGGGGACACCTCCCTGCCCTGTGAGGTGGCTTTGGGGACATCTCCCTGTCCTGTGAGGTGGCTTTGGGGACATCTCCCTGCCCTGTGAGGTGGCTTTGGGGACACCTCCCTGCCCTGTGAGGTGGCTTTGGGGACATCTCCCTGTCCTGTGAGGTGGCTTTGGGGACACTTCCAGTGCCTGTCACTGCTCAGCCTCTGTCTGGCTGGGCTGAGCACAGGGAAGGGTTGCCTGAGGCCTGACTGCAGCTGTTATTGAACCTTTTTTTGTGGTTCATGACCCTCAAACTCCTCTGTGTGCTTTGGCAATGTGAGCTGGCCCATGTCCCTGTGCTCTGCCTCTCCTCCCTCCTCTGTCCCCACCCTGCTCTGTCCCCTCACAGCAGTCATGGCACCGATCACATCATCCCAGCAGCCTTTTTTGGGAAGTGCCACCACCCTGCTCCTGCTATTCCCAAACCTGGGGCTTTACCTGGGCCTGCCTCTGGATCAAACACAGCTGTTCCTCCCTCCCAGCCTCCTCCTTCTGTTTGTTTATAAAAATTCTCCATGGCTTCCACATTCATTAGCAGCTTGCCATCTGCTGTCTTAATAAAGTAATAAATGAGTGTCGTGGTGAGTTTCTTGACGGGCTTGAAAGCTTCATTTGCATAAGTATTTTCATCCATCTCCTCTAATTCTGCTCCCCTTCATCTGCAGTGTGTCCTGACTCTCTCTGCTCCTGGAGGGCTCCCAAAGCTCTGCAGACGCTGGGACAGGTGTTTATAAAAAATAAAACAAGCCCTTGCAGGGTCCCAGCTTGGTGTGTCCTCACTGACTTGGAGAGCAGAGCTGCTGCTTTCAGAGTATTGTTCTTATTTAAGCAACAAGAGGCTTCTTCCCACCACATCTGCACCTTGCCGGGCCCTGGGGCTCAACCAGAGCTGGGTTTCCTTGGTTTCAAAGCAGAGCATGGCTTTTTTCACTGGGTGCTGCTAATTTGAGGTCATGTATGTGAAAATAATCCCATTTTAGCTGCTGTCATTGCTTCCTCCAGGTGTGTTTGTGGAGCAGGGAGGGTTGATGCAGTCTCCCAGCACTTCTGGAGGAGTTAAAGGCATCAGCAGAGGGTGCAGGACTGGTCCCTGCTGCTTTTCTCTCTGCTTGTCAATCATTCCTCACTCATGGCGAGGGTGGCCCTGGCTGTGGATGGCTGCAGGGTTTAAACATTCAACATCCACACCTGCACTGGGACAGGAATCTGTTTTAGCAGGCTCAGGTGTGTGAGGGATGGGTGGGAACCAACTACAGCTAAAGAATCTTCCCAAACTCGGGCTAAAGGAGCTGCACAGTCCTTCCCTGCCCTCCCACTTTAAAGGCTGTTCTCATGGAATCGCCTGAGCTGGGAGGAGCCCACAGGGATCACCCAGAGCAGCTCCTGGCCCTGCACAGACCCCCCCAACAATCCCACCCTGGGCACCCCTGGAGCTCTCCTGGAGCTCTGGCAGCCTGGTGCCCATTCCCTGGGGAGCCTGGGCAGTGCCAGCACCTCTGGGGGAAGAACCTTGCCCTAAAATCCAGCCCAAACCTCTCCTGGCACAGCTCCAGCCATTCCTCAGCTGCTGTCCCTGTCCCAGAGCAGAGCTCAGGGCCTGCCCCTGCTGCTTTTCAGGAGCTGGGACTGGGATGAGGCTCCCCTCAGCCTCCTCTGCTCCAGCTGAACACACCAAGAGCCCTCAGGTGGTTCTCCCTCTAAAAAAGTGCTTCATTCCCTCGTTTTGGTGAGGCTTTTCCAACAGAAGTGTCACCACGCCCTCTCTCTGCTCCTGCCAGCCCTGTCCTGGCTGTCCCCAGGGTTTGGGGCCCCTGCACCCCCTTGTCTGATGAATCTGGGGGGTGTGAGGGGCAGCATCTTCCTCAGGGCACCGTCTGCAGCAGAACCAGGGCATCCTCTGCACCTCCCTCTGAGCTGGCACCATCAGAGGGGTTCAGTGGCAGGCTCAGAGGGATGGGAACAGCCGGGGATCACCAGGAGCTCCTGATCCCACTCTTCAAGTGCACCCATTGATGTCAAACAGGGATTAAAAACCATCCCCATGGCCTGAGAATCCATCAGAGGGTAAAATCTGACCTTCAAATGATTCAGAAACTTGACCACAGAAGCCACGTGTGACATTAACACCCAAAAAAGCTGTTCTGTCTGTGGTGACTGCCCCAGATCAGGCAGCTCCAGGTAGGGCTGAAGGCAGAATGTGAGACCAACAGCTGGGTGGGCTTTTGCATTGGTTTTGTGGCTTTATTTTTTTATTATTTTATTATCATTAGTATATTATTATTAATTTTTTTATTTTTTTTATTTTTTTGCCCCTGACAAATAGTGCATGCACTTTAAAAATGCAGTTTCACAGCTTTTTGTGAGTTAGTAAGCTTCAGCTGAGACAAAAAATTAGAGTAAAAGAGAGAGTTAAAAGCCCAAGTTAAAGGAGAGTGAGGAACTTCTGTTTAGTTTCTGACACTTTCCTGTTCTGGACAAGGCATCAGGCTTCTCTCAAGGAAGCACCCTGAGAGCTTCTCGTTTTCCTCCTGGACATCCAACACCTGGCCAGGAAATGTGGGAACTGCCAGGATGGGCCACACACAGAGGCAGCAATTCCCTGACCCCCAGTTCAATCTCAGATGCTCCAAAGCCAACATTTTCCTCCCCTGAACATCCAGGGGACGGGATTAGAAATGCCAGCTCTGCCTTCCCATCCATTAAGTGCTGGGCTCTGGGAGAGCTGACAAATCACAGAGGTTTGCAGTGCACATGGATTTCTGCTGCTTCTGCAAACTCCAGTAGGATAAACAAGGACATTTTTCATCCACTTTAGGAGCACTGAAAGCAACTTTTGATTTTAATTTGAGCTGGGATTCTCCCTGTAACACAACCTTTGACTCCTGCAGCTCTGGTTCTGCCTGGAAGGGCTCTGAAAAGCTCCATTCAGAACACTCATCCCAGCATGTTTTCAATCCCCAAATGTGCCAGGTTGAAAGGTGATGTGGTCAGGAGATAAATGTGCTTTCAAGACTCCCTTTTCTCAGGGTTTCAGGCAGTTGCACCTTCGAACCCTCTCAGTTACAAACCACGAGTCAGAAGCATCTCTGCACTAGTGCCTGGATTGGAACAGGCAGGATTTAATAGAATTGACAGGATTTCATAGAATTGACAGGATTTAATAGAATTGACAGGATTTAATAGAATTCTCTATCACCTCGGGCAAGAACAACTCAGACATCTCAGATACTTGAAAACAATTAATACCCCTGACTGAGGACAGGCTGCTAGAAAGAGCAGCTCGCAGCAGAGCCGAGATGTTTCACTGCAAGGAGCACCCGTGCAGCCTCTTCCCACTCCAGAGGCACTGGACAAGGATCCACGTCCCAAATTAACCTGCAATCAACATTTCTTCTCTCTTTTGCTTGATGAAAATGGCATAGGTTTATCTGGCCTGCATAGCTGCCAGTTTCCAGCAGTGAGGGAAAATTCTTGGAAGGTGGAGAGAGGCAGTAAAAAGGTAAAATGGTGAAGGCACACCAAGAAATAAAATTTGGTGTTGTCTTTAGGGGGAGGAATGGGCTGTCCTTCTGTTCCCAGAATTATGGCATCTCCTGATGTAAAAGGATCACAGGGATAACAGGGATAACCCAGAACAGCTCCTGGCCCTGCCCAGACCCCCCAACAATCCCACCCTGGGCACCCCTGGAGCGCTGTCCAAGCTCTCCTGGAGCTCTGGCAGCCTTGTGCCCATTCCCTGGGGATCCTGGGCAGGGCCAGAACCCTCTGGGGGAGAACCTTTCCCTAAATCCAGCCCAAACCTCCCCTGGCACAGCTCCAGCCTGGGGTTCTGTCCCTGTCCCAGAGAGCAGAGGTCAGAGCTGCCCCTCGGAATTCCACTGATTCCTGTTCAGCACCTTCTGGGAGGGTGGGGAGGCCCCTGGATCAGCTGTGGCTGCCCCTGGATCCCTGGAAGTGGCCCAGGCCAGGCTGGATGGGGATAGTGGAAGGTGTCCCTGCCCATGAATGATCTTTAAGGTCCTCCCCAAGCCCAGCCTTGTGGGATTCAGCTCATGGGAGGCCCGAGCCCCACACCCAGCTCTGGCTCACTCCCTGTGGGAAGGAGTCAAGGCTAAAAGCCCTGGATATTTTCCTCACCTGTCTCCTGGAGCTGTCCTGAGCCCATACCCCACTCCTCTCTCCATTCTGGGCAGAATTTGGCTCCCAAAGCTGCTCCTGGCTGGAGTTGGAGGCAGGCCAAACACCAGTGCCAAAGGCAGGCCAGACGGCACTTCTGTTGGGAAAGCCTCCCCAAAACGAGGGAATAAAGCCATTTTTAGAGGGAAAACCACCCGAGGAGGGCTCTTGGTGTGTCCAGCTGGAGCAGAGGAGGCTGAGGGGAGCCTCATCCCAGTCACAGCTTCTCCTGAGGGGAAGGGCAGGGGTGGGGGGATGACCTTGGCCCAGAGCTCCAGGGAAAAAAACCCTTTTTGCATTTCAAGGCACGGATTTCCATCTCCTGAAGAAAAGCAGCCTCACATCCTGCTGCAAATGGCTGACACGAAGCTTCCAAGGGCTAATGAATTTCCCAAGAACTCGTTTGTAAATCCAATAATTAGTTTATGAATAACAATTAATTAAAACTTGGATCCCCCCAGAAATGTAGCATGTCATCCTGTCCTGGGTTCTGATTGATCTTCCCACAGGAATATTGCCAAGGCCTGAGACACATCTCTGGGAAAAATTAACTGGAATCTGGCACAAAAGCTATATTTTCGTAAAAAATTGATTGAAGGGAAATGCAATTATTAATGATTGCCATGTGTAATTGCTGTGATTATGGGCTGCATTCTGGGGGAAGGACACATCATTCAGAGAGCTGGCACATCCCCGAGCTCCATTTGTCACCGGGGCTGGACAGAGGGGGGGTCCTGCCAGGCCACCCTGTCCCAGACCATCCCCAGAGGGTCAGGAT